AAACTAGTTATGACAACTACTAAATACGTTTTTTAAACTAGTTATGACAACCACTAAATACGTTTTTTAAACTCGTTACAACCTTTTTTCACATGTAATGTTTTTTTTCAATAAACACAGAATACGTTTTCTAAGATTTTCTTGTAATTTTATTTCATACAATTGGGAAGTAAAACAACAAGAATATCAGCTTGCTGGTAAATAAAAATAATGATTAAATAAATACATATAAATAATTAATCAAATACAAATTAATAATCGGTCTTAAAAATAAAATAAAAATAATATTTTGTTATTTATTCGCATCTGTAAATCTGATTTGTAAATGACGTAGAGGAAATTGATAATGATTAAAATTCACGTGCGTAACGTGATTCTTGAGAAATATGTTGTTACAACATAGTCAACTTCTGGTGGAATATTCTCTGAGAGACTTTTAAATATTCGTTAAGGCTAAAGTAAAAACTAATGAAAAAACTTTACCTCTGATACGATTTGGAGCAGATTTAGAGCTGCCATCTAGTATGATATTGTTACATCACAAAGAAAAGTCTTCAAGGTTGATCTCAACGAAATATGAAACCTTCTTTTATTTACTTTACATGAACCAAAAATGGTGTTCAACTGAAGAATATATGGTATTACTTTAAATTTCTGTATATTTTACGAAATATTAATTTAAATTTCCATATATTTTACGAACTACATTGATATAAATGTCTGTATATTTACGAATCACAATGATTTAAATTTCCGTATATTTACGAACCACATTAATTAAAATTTCCATATATTTTACGAACCACACTAATTAAAATTTCCGTATATTCTACGAACCACATTAATTAAAATTTCCGTATATTCTACGAACCACACTAATTAAAATTTCCGTATATTCTACGAACCACATTAATTAAAATTTCCGTATATTTTACGAACCACATTAATTAGAATTTCCATATATTTTACGAACAACATTAATTTAAATTTCCATATATTTTTACGAACCACATTGATTTAAACTTTTGTATATTTACGAACCACATTAATTTAAATTTCCGTATATTTTACGAACCTCACTAATATAAATTTCCGTATATTTTACGAACCTCACTAATATAAATTTCCGTATATTCTACGAACCACATTAATTAAAATTTCCATATATTTTACGAACTGAACTAATCATACAAAGAGATAATTTAACATTTAACACTGTCTAATAACATCTAAACTTTCGGTGTTTAACAGTAGTTAACACTGTTTAAGAATGCCTGTTACGGTGTGAAAGCCTTTTCTGAGCTGGCGAAACATGATTATAATTAATTATACTTGTCATAAGATATTATATTAGGCCTATTATACTTTTTAACACTACGATATTTGTTGTGTTCTAGTCGGCCTGATGAGCTCTGGATTGAGCGAAACGCGTCGTCGGCAATGGATATGACGGACATGATGATGAAATACTCTTATACACTCTTCCTCTTCTTAAAATCCCTAAAAGGCTGAATACAAAATGTGGTGTTAAAAAATGTAATGGTCCTAATATTAAATTCTTACTCCAAATATAACTAATTACTCCAAATAAGCTATAGGTTTTAATTCATAAAGTAATTAAACAACTTTTATCTGAAACAATAAAATTATTTATTAATCTATTATTTCCCATAACGTCTTACTAAGTCAAGCCACACGGGGCTTCGTTATTGTGGCGAACCTAAAATCGTTTCGAAACGACGACTTATACGTTGTTAGTGACGGATTATGCGTTGTTAGTTCACTGCATTTTTGAGTAACCACCTCAAGCAAGATTTCTGAACAGTCCAATTATCATAAGGTATCTTATTAAAGACTTCTGAACAGTCCAATTATCATAAAGTATCTTATTAAAGATTTCTGAACAGTCCAATTATCATAAGGTATCTTATTAAAGATTTCTGAACAGTCCAATTATCATAAAGTATCTTATTAAAGATTTCTGAACAGTCCAATTATCATAAGGTATCTTATTAAAGATTTCTGAACAGTCCAATTATCATAAAGTATCTTATTAAAGATTTCTGAACAGTCCAATCATCTAAAAGTATCTTATTAAAGATTTCTGAACAATCCCATCATCATAAGGTACCTTATTGAAGATTTCAGAATAGTCCAACCGTCATAAAATATCTTATTATTTGCTGTAATGATCTCACTCAATCATCCCCCTAACTTCTATCTTTTAGAGGTGGTTGAGTAATACATTAGCGTCCTCTATGAATTTACTTCAATAGTTACTCCAGCCTTTCATCTGATAGCTCTACTGGACTCACTACTGTGCAGCTAGGTATTTTGTACATTGAAATGAATAGTGCTTTGTCCATTTACCGTAGAGTCTGCAGACTCTATATGTGGGGATGTCCAAGGTACTCGATAAGCTTAATATAAATATCCACGTTAAAAAATTAACAATCACAGAGAGTTTTACTTTAAAAGATGATTACCACTCACTTACATTTGTTTCTCTACCCAACACGTACAAAAACAAGGTAAGGAACCATCGCTAAGATACCAAACCAGATTGTTCATCTTTCGTCTTCTTTTTCAGTAGAGATAATTCTACAACTACTTTATCATTAACGTCAGTTTAAACCTAAATCCACTCTATGTGTTTCTGGGCAGTGCACGATGTCATAGCTTAGTCCTAATAACCAGTAGTAATAATTCTAGTGTAAACGATGTTATCATTTCCCCTTGAAGTTAGCTGTCCTACAGAAATATGGCGTTCCTTAAAAAAAGATTAAGTACAGGGTGAAACAGGAATTACCAGCCAATAATAGATGAACATTAGATGACTGTAACATGTAGAATACTCAATGCTTTGTACACTATACAATCGGTGTCTTTAGGGATCTAGCCCCTATATTATTTATGAAGTGAAGGAGTAAAAAAATATCAATACACATAATATTAAATTTATTACAGATATTCGTAGAATACACTAACTTTCAGTCAGGAGAAAAAATGATGTAGGGATGACAGTGGCAAAAAGAATACAAACAAGAATATAAGGATGATACAGTTATACATAGATCATCCCTACATGACTTTCAATATTAAAATTTAATGTTACATTGTAAAATACACACTTCACTTTGATATTACTACATTTGGAAGTTATATATTCTGTCTGTTGGTATACAGTTTGTTTATCATAATATCATGGTCATGTCAGGGTAAGCATCAATGTAGTGTAACTAAGAGCGTAGGACTTACGTACAAGTAAAACCAAGTTGAGTCAAAACATGTCTTGATTATTACAGACTCTCGCAACGAGGTCGGTCTAACTGACCGACCTCGTCACCATTTTGTACTTTTACATTTTACAGTGTAACATTAAATTTTAATCTTTAAAGTCATGTAGGGATGATCTATGTATAACTGTATCATCCATATGTTCTTGTTTGCATTATTTTATGCCACTGCCATCCATACATCATTTTCCAAAATGTTTTTTTTATTTCTCGTAAGTCTTATTAAACAAACTGCAATAATTTTTTTCTATGTTTAAAAATGCCAAATGCTTTTCACACAACACGATTGTTTTATTACACATGCTCTTTAGTTGGTAAAACTATTTTCTATATTTTCATCTTCATTAAAATCTGAACACACTGCATTAGTTTATTTTGAGTTTAATGCTGGAAAAGAGCAAAAAGGCGATCGATAAAAGAAGAATAAAACCTCAGCTAGGAGGAGAGGTTATAAACATGGATACAACATCTTAGCA